TACCTGAAAATGACATGAGACTCAAAATAAGAAGCCAATTTATGAACATACGGAATTACCTTAAGATCATATTACTAGTTGAACAATGATAAATATTATGTGATGAGTATCAGATGATCAGAATAAAAAGAAAATGCACCGAGAAATCTGGCTATTGTCTCACAGACATGTATAATATCACCGACAAAAATCCAAAATTCACCCTCAACCTTTACCCTGAACTCAGAGGTTAACCTCTGAATAACATATTATCATATATTATGGATTTGATCCCCTAACATTGAAAACTTGCTTGCAGCCATTAACAATTTGGAAATCCATTTGAACATACAATCATGTACTTCAACAATAAAAAAAATCATGAAAAATTGGCATAGGAAATGTTATCAAATGGTGAAAATAACTTTGTTACCAAAAGTTAGATCATTTACTTTTCAACTGACCAATTTAAACCCTACAGTACTAAACATGATATAGCCACATAAAATTCAGAACAAAGATGTTTTATGTTGAACATAAACTGCACATAAAACTACAATTCCACTAAAAGAAGTTAGAGATATACAACATTGATTTCTAGATTATTCACTCTATAATAAGCTCAAGCCATAATATGATAGAATATTGATGAAATATCATAAGCAACCAATGGTAAGAAGGAGAGGGTAAGCAAATTTCATTTTGCAAACATCCCTTCCTTTTCAAATGAAAATTAATAAATTGATCAACTTCATCTAAGGGATGATCAATATATAGTGAATTATATTTTTGAGTTTTGCAGTCTAGCTTCAAGCCCCTGTGACCCCGCCCCCTCCCACTACACACCTTCTCACACAGGGGAGGTAAGAGTTGTATAGTGGGGGGAGGCTCACAAGGACTTGTAGCGAGACTAAGAGTTTTTAGAATGCAAACAAATGTTCAAAAGGGTAGGATGTAATTTTCAGATATTCATCAGGGTGCAACATCAAGTTTCTCTAATGCTGGAAGTAAGATCTCCTACACATTCCATCACAATCCTAACCACCCTGCCCCCTTGTTCCCAACTACACCAGCCCATAGCCAGGAGGGTTAGAGTGAACCCCCTGGCCAAAATTCTTTCAAAATCATGCAGTTTTTCATAATTTTGAGCACTTTTCAAGCGATATTGGGCTAAAGTCGTCAAATGTGAACCCCCTTGGAATTTTTTGAAGTCAACCCCCTTTGGGGCTATGGCCCTGCCTCATACCCTTCACCACACCCTAGGCTAGACCACATAAAAATATCCTCCAATGTATATGAGAACTCCACAGGTTAATATGAGAAATAAGTCTAGATTCTTGAACATGTTAAAGTAGATATTTTCTTTTTGTCATATCCTATCTTCATCGAAAGATCTTTTATGTGTAGGATGATAAACATTACTTCCTCATATAACATTCTTTCATCCTTATGAAAGGTTCTTGTTAAGAGATAAGTGGGTAGACCAGGAATTTGCTTTAACTCTATTTAAGTATATCTATAAAAGTTATTCCCTCTATACTAAGAATAATATCTAAACATCCAAGCCTGTAGTCAGAGTTCGAACCCCCTGCACCCCCTCATCCTAGCCAAAAATCATTTCAAAATCATACAATCTTTCACCATTTTGAGCATTTGGGCCAAAGTTGTCAGATGTGAACCATCTGGAATTTTTTGAAAAGTAATCCCTTGGCCAAAGCTTGCTAGGGGCCTGGCATCCAAGTATGAACCTATTGAAGCATTCAGTATGAAAATTCCAAACTTTAATGGCCATCTCAGTCTTATCTCTAAATGATTAGTATATTGTTTCTTGCTTTATATACAATTCATTATTGATTTTCACAAGTATTATGCAAAGTTTACATTATTGATTGATATATCTCTCTTAACTTTATAAAGTTGTGAAACCTATCCTATAATAGTAAGATCTACAGGTCATTGATAAGTCAATCAATGATGTAAATCACTTTCATATCATGAACATGGGTTTATAATTGAAGTCAATCAAACACTCCTTATTTCTAAGTGAAAACACTTGATGTTAATAAATAAATCACCCTTGAATATATTCAAGTCAAGTTGATATCATAAATAAAAAACTGGTGTTGACCTGTTAAAGATTATGTTATCAACTTCTCAAACTTTCTCAACCTTCCTGGAGATATCACTGAAGAATTATTTTTCAAAATAAAGAAAAACTGTAGAACTGTACTACATGAGGCATGCACGTATCAAGTGAACTAAATGGGATACCCCTGGATCCATTCTACCCTGAAACCAATCACCTACATAACTACTCCCTTAGTTCTTTATTTGGACCTGGGACCTTTTAATTGCTTATTTTTAAGTGTATTGGCGCACAGCCTCATTGAAATGGCCTTTAGGGACATGGAACTACAAAAGCTGAGGCTTTAGAAGCAAGGCTATAATAGCAAATTGGTTTTAAAGGTTGTTACAAGTTTATGAAAAATATTGAAGAGAGTGATGAAATATATAAAGGTATATTCTAAGTTATTGTAAAGCCTGTGAATAGCCATTATATGTTTATTAAAAACTATTAAAATACTAATATTGACACATACTTATGAAACGCAAAAAAATAAAATAAAAATTGAAAAGGACCTTTGCCTTTTCATTCAAAGGTATCCCAAGTCAGTTAATATAATATGGTCTTAGTTGACATCGCTAATTTAGGACATTATTTTACAATGAATGTAATTCCTTTTCAACTCTACAAATTGATAAAATGTATTTTTCTGGACCCACGTTTCTAATGTATCAAGAATGTACAGTTGTATGGCCCTTGTATATTTGAGCATGATGGAACATAGGGGTTTGTGTAAAAAAACTGGGTGACCAGTAGTGTTGTCGGGATTAATCGATACATCGCGATATACATCGCCAAAGCTGATTCTGGCGATGCATCGATGTCTGAAACAAAACATCGATGTTTTTGAAAAAAATTTAATTCGCTAAAAATCACCCTTTCTTATCTTATTTTGACGCAAATCGCTTACCTTTCTCATGAGTTATTTCATATTCCAATGTTTTCTGATATTCTTTCGCTCTAAAACTGCTTTAGCTAGTCTAAATGAACCATTAATCTAAAAAAATTACTTTTACTTTCATTTCACCGTTACTAGAAGTTCCCGGATGTACCAGCGTACTCTTATTAATTTGTTCCGTTCGGTAATTTAGTGTATTAGCGTTCGGTATTTCAGTGCACTTTTCTCAGACTTTTTCTCGATGTACATCGCGATGTGCATCGATGTTTACTCCTGAAAATTGCCGATGCATCGATGTGCGATTATGGCACATCGCGACAACACTAGTGACCAGGTGGCTGTACACATTGCAGGGTTACCAACTTTCAAAGTTGCACATTTTCCCATAATATAATATCATATTATATAGTAGTCAATTGACCTGTCGAGCATTAAATAGACATAGCCTACCAAGTGTAAACTACATAGGGGTTTCATTAGCAGCAGGCAACAGGCAATTTTCACCAGTGTTTTCACAAAATCGCCTGTTGTTTTTCAGGACTTTTCAACGTTCCCATGTTAAATTTAGGATTTCCATTAATGTTCCATATTTAAACGTTATCATTTTGAACAAGAAACTGTAAGAGAACTTTTAAAATAATCAGCTACTTTATCAATATAAGAAAAAAAGTAAATGCTGGTCACCTGGTTACACAAGATATCCTCTGAATAAACATGAACATGAAATGGACTGAATTCAGAAGATGATGGCATTAGTTGCTTGATTTATTGTCTGATTGATTGACAGGATACTGATGATTGTTTTCTAGGATGGAGTTTTCTACTAGAAATCAAACAAATCTGGACGCGTAAATTGAAAAGTTATTGCTGTTATTTGTCAACGTATGATGTACAATACAACGTAAGTTGGTTGATTTATTGCCTGAGTGATTATAAATAATGATGTTTGTTGATTAGTTGGTTGGTTATTTGCTTGATTGGTCATATGGCTGGTATGTTGAGTTGGAGGTCAGTTAGGCATTTTGAGGCATAAAATAAAAAATCAAATTCCTAACCCTGGGAGGAACATGAGGTACCCAGTCACCCACTTTTTTACACAAACCCTGGAACATAGGGGCCTAGCCAGCAATTAAGGGGGGTTCAATTTTTGGGTTTGCATCACTTTGAGCAAAGGAAGCCCAAAAGAGGGAGTAAAGTAGTTCACCCCTAGAAATTTATGCATGAAAATAAAGATCACATCTGTAGCAGTATCATTCATGTACTTGCTTAAATCTAGTGCACTGATTGTGTAGTTCTGCTTTTGTAGTGCATTTTTAAAACTACAAGCTTTGGAAGGAAATTGCCAAGTCTATTTTTTGAAAGAATTTCTGGTCTGGCTTAGAGTGACCTCTCTCCACCTCTGGCTACGGGCCTAGTCTATTTGATATTAGAATCGTTTGAGGAATGAAACAGAGCTTGTCAAAAATTTCCAAAGGATGATTCTCGGTTTGGAGAACGAAGTTCATCAATCTAAATGAGCATTATCCCTGCTTCGGACAAATTTGATTTTTTTACATAATATAGATTTGAATGTTTTCTTTTGAATAGTCATAATTTAATTTGGGTAATATTTCTAGATTTTTCGCAAAAAAATATTAGCGCAGTACACTGATGAACTTCTTTCCCCAAATCGAGACTTGTATTTTATTGAATCGGTCTAATTGAGCGTTATCCCTGCTTCAGACCAATTTGATATTTTTATTATTTTTACATCTTGTAGATTTAAATGTCCTCTTTTGAATATTCATAGTTTAATTTGGGTAATATTTCTTTATTTTTCAAGAAAAAGATTATTAGCCCAGGAGACTGTTCTCAAAACCGAGAATCGTCCTTTTGAAAAGTAACATAAAATTTCACCACACTTCAGGGTAGGTGTGTCCCATCGACAACTGTTAGTAAGATCAGGTATCAGTACTGAAATGTAGATGCCTGAAGGAAGGCAACAAAAAATCTACTCACCAATTATGTGCAGATCTGTCTGTGTGAGATTCAAATAGGATGACTTCTTCTGGAATGGTTTATGATGATTCAGCAAGCAAGCCTCTTCCTCATTCTTATTAATCCAATTAATTATTCTCAAAACTTTCCAAAACATAAAAATCCTGGATTTCCGGTTTGAGACTCCGTAGTTTCATCGAATATAGGAGCTTTTTAAGCAAGACGGGTCAAAGCTGTAGTGTTCCTGAGTTCGATCGTAATGTTGTTTATGTCCTGTTAGTCAAAATCACCATGGAATGATCTATTTGAGATGTATTAATGTATATCGAATAAACATCCAAAGATAATACTGTTTACCATATCAAAACATTGTCACGCCTCCTATCGTCTAAAATTCCCGGGATAGTACTGGACGAAACTAATAAACTAAACCCGGGAAGAGGCAAACCAAGGGAAATTACTATAATGGGCTCTAGTCCAAGGTGGTGGGCGGGGGGTCACTGGATAAAACATTTGGCGTGAGTCCTAGTTAGTTTCATGTAAATGACACGTATAGGCAAAGCCATATCAAATGTCTAAATAAGTGGGGTGGATCTGGGAACCAGCAAGGGAGGGGGGGGGGGCAGATGGCAGGATAGTTCAACAAGTTAAACCCCACGGCTTTCATTTATTAATCTGAATGTTCCTGTTGCCGTGATTGGCCACAAGATATGTCAGATAAGAAATAAGGCCCAGACAAGGTTTAACTTGTTGAACTAATGGCAGGCCTGAGAAAAAAGATTTTGGGCCCCTAAAAAAGTGGGCCCAAAAAGTTTATGAATTTGGCCTAAAATCAAAAGATGAGGCCTTTCAAGTCCCAGTAATGACCAAAAAGGCCCACAAGGGGGGACGGGGTACTGGTCAAATTTTTGTACAGGGGGGTACCGCTGACACTCAAAATATCTACCCACATCTAGGGATCTTTTAAAAATAGTTCCACTTTAAGGTAATTTTTATAAAACAAGCCCCACTTCCCGCGATTTTTTTCAAATTCAATACCCAATTTTAGGATTTTCAGAAAGTAGACCCAGTACTAGAGATTTTTTCATCAAAATGGGACCCATATCTAGGTTTTTTTCTTCAAAATGGGACCCACATCTAGGGATTTTTTCGGCAAAAAAAGTGACCCACTTTAATACCGGCACATCCCCATATAGCTAATATATGGGAGTGAGAAAAATATTTTTAATATGCTAAAACATTGAAGTGGCCAATCAAACATGGCATTTTATTATTGAAATAGTGTGTCCTTTGTTCAATCTTTGCATTGGTATTAAAAGATAATCTTTTTTGAAATGTATGAAGAAATATTTGATGAATAAAAAATTTCAACTTTTTTTGAAAAATGGCGGGAAATTTGAATATTTGAGAAATGCCCATAACTTTTTTTTAAATTTCTTTTTCAAAAATCTCTAAAATAACTTTTAAAGTCATGACAAATAGTAAATGAATGATAAAAAATATTTTCAAACTTTAGATTGGGACTTTAAAGAGGCAGGGAGGTTGAAACATGAGGAAATTACCTTCAGAACCATAAACATGTAATCAGATCTAGATTTATATGACTCTACAATATATTAGTTGTACTAGTTGTAAAATATTTTTATATCCAAAAATGTTCATCTACAAAAATGCACAAAATAAATTATACATTTAAGACATTTAAGACTTGTAATTTTTTTCCTCATTTATTGAAATAAAGTTTGATATAAAATACATGTACAGTCTAATGAATCACAAATACTCTCATTAATATGCATGGGGTCCAGCCTCATGTGCATGTAACTCTGCAACATATATATATAGCATAAGATAACCGGTTTCATGATCACAAGTTTTCTACTACTTTAGGAAGTAGGGGGTGTCCTCAATGATGCACATGCTTGTATTCAGGTATTTGTGTGTCAATAACACTCTTTAATCTAACAAAAAATTGACACAAATGTATGTATACTGTAAAACACATTAAATTCTTGAATTTGCATATATTCGTGTGAGTGTACTGTAAAATCATAAACTGAGAATGGTGTGAATATAAATTGTATAACTGGCACATATTGGACATTTGAAAAAAAGGTGAAAACATGAATACTTGAAAAGTAACGAATGTACAACTCTGCCAAAATTGATATAAAGTAGTACAGTAGCATAATTATTTCTGAAAAAGAGTGTCCCAAAATCAAATGATTTGCCCCTTATACCAGTGAGTATCTATAGTACATCATTACATGATTTATAGTATGCTTTATCTAGTATGGCTGATTACTGTTTAACATATTACATTCATATACTAAATTGTAGAATGAAATATTGACTTCATATTCATTTTGCTTACATTACTCATTAATTCATATTACTTTCATTTCTCACAAACAATTCAGGCATGACACTATAAAAGTACATACTACAAACAACTGCTTCCACTTGGAGTATAAAATATTAGAATCCACCGATCCATCTCTAAAAAGAGAACATACTCTCCCATGCAAGGCACTGAAGGAAACTACAAATGTAGTGAACATATATTATAGGTATATTATCTCTATCAGCAAATGTGAGGTTAAAAATAAAGACAAGGTCAATACAAAGGTCAATACTATATGTAGGTCACAATGTAATAAATCATTTTTGGGGTGTGGTTAAAGTCCATCATGTATTGTTAGCAAAACTGTTTTAAAGCAAAGATACTTTGATTTAATTTGATATTTTGCAATGAAAGAGATTCATTCAATGAGGGTGGTCAATTAACATTTTGGACAAAACCAAAATATTCATCTCAGGCCTCCTAGACTTCCAACAACTCAAACATCAGTTCTGAGCTCGCAAACTATGTTCTTTGCGTTCGAACCACGATTCTCATGTTGCGAACAAGAAATCTTTAGTCGCGCAGCACCATTTCCTCGGTCCTGAACATATTTCTCCACTCCAAAACAGGGATCAGTGCTCGCGAACCACACACCTGATCGAAAAAGTCAGTAATTATATTCATATAATTACGCATAACTAAAATTCCAATGAAGTGTTTTTATTTGGAATTCGTAAGAAATACTTTTCCAGTTTTCATGCATGTTAATGAATATCCACTAATTGAAGATAACAGCATCTTCAAGCTCCAAGAAACACGAAACGTGGTTCAAGTGCAAAGGAAATTAGTTCGCGAGCTCAGAACTGATGTTTGCGTTGTTGGAAGTCAAGGAGGCCTGCAGGACCTGGTCCACTATAATAACCCGGGTATAATAACTTGATGATATTTTTAAGAAGAGAGGAAAATAGTTTGGGTTTCAAATGCCTTCTTTGGGGGAGAAACATAAAAAATTACCCAGATTTAATCACCATAAATGCACTACACACCATAATATCCAGAAATATGCTGTCAAAATGTTATCAATTTTGAGTTTTTTTAATACAGAAATAAAGTGAAAATATCAAAACTTACACTCATGCTATGAACAAAGTATGAACACAATAGAACAAAATACTTACTAGCCTTGCACCAAGCCTTTGCCTACCCCCTCCCTCTTAACATGCACACCTTCAACACAAGGGCAAGGGAAATAGAGAATATGGGTAGGGGGGGGGGGTAAGGGTAGAAACTTGATCTAATACTTATCATAAACAAACTTAAATAATTTTATATAAAAATAAAAAATGTGAGTTACAAAATGCATATGCACATTAATATTTACATTTCATTACATTAGCCATACACAATATGTATTTAAAATGTGTAATCTTACATTTCTAACAATAGAATACACTACAAAACCAACAAGGTACATAAAAATCTCACAGTGCATCATCACTAAATTAAGTTCTTAACTATATGTGGTACAGTATGTGGTATAATTACATTGTACATAATTGAAGTCTGACCAAAAAACACATTAGACCATGGGTAAGTCAATATCATATCAATATTTACCAACAAATGGGCATAGACAAAGTTATTCCTAAAGGTGGACCAAGAGGACATCTGATTCATATTATAAGTGAAAACAATCCAGAAAAAGTCTCTGACAATGGCAAACATATTTAACCCTACATGAACTTATGAATACATACAGTATATACATGTACTTAAATAAATATCAAAATCTACTGGGCTGAGACTATTCTTTTATCTAGAAATCAATCATTTTATTTCACTTCTCACAACAAGTGAAAGACTGTGTTGATTTATTATCGAAGTAGCTATAAATATTTTTCTCATTATAGGGCCATTATATTTATATAAGTCGTTACATTTTTTATGCATAAAACACCATGAAGTAACATGTACTTTTAAAATCAAGAGAAAATATGATTTTTTATATTGAAATGCCCTACACTTTATAGTTGGATCTTCTGAAAAAAGGCCATGACTTACATTTTATTAGTCCATATGTTGTCGGAATTTCGTTCAAATTTTCGTATTTTAAAAGCACCTCAGAATAATGCTTCAAATGCAATCTCAATTTCAATATTTCCTGGGAGGAGAGAAAAAATAAGAAGCATGAGAACCCCCCACAAAGCTCGTTTGCTTCGCTCATTTGTGGCGTACACTCACAAAATACCCACGCGTTGCCACTGGAACAAACCTACATTTTCATGGAAACCCATACTTGCAAACCCAAAGATGTCGCAATATCATGTTGGCTCCTGCACATAACCTAACAATAATGCTTGATTTTACATTTAAATCTATAGACTGCAAATATTCTCAAAATTGCATTCCTCGGCTATATGAGACCAGTTATTGAAAATTTCGGTTAGGCTACATGGCGAGGAAGCACAGAATGGGAGGACTATTTCTTTCTCATTAACAAGTGTCTTTACCATGAAATCTCCTTCACAAGCATATAAAATAAATACAATATTACTAGAGCAAGAATCTATGTAGCTCAAACGCCATTTCCGTTTTTCATGATACTCTTCAAACTTCTCAGACATTAAGAAATCATCGAAAAACAATCCCAATCTGGTATAAAAAGGCAGTAAGGTCCTTGAATGACCAAAATGAAAGTGGCCTACATTCCTAATGCTATGATTGTTCTCACTGTGATTTTTAAAATACTGCAACAAATCAGATACAAGCACACAACTTGACTCATAGTTCACTGGATCCGCAAAGCCATATCGCCAATGATACTTCAAATCCTGACGATATTCTAATAGTCTGAGATTCTCTTTACTGAATATTGCACACCAGGGGGAAACCCTGTATATGGCATAGTCATAGCGGCAGATATCATATAGTACATCAATATCAGTATTGGTGACAGTATCATGCGGCAGACCCAATCGTGCCTCTACACTAGCAATGAGGTCCAACATCTGGTATCCTGCATCAAACCTCCTAATAGGCTCCTCCTCACGTGTTTTGAAACTTATTTTGTTTCTTTTACAAACCTCTATGGACTCCAGCAGTCTTTTGTTCTTACTTAGATCTTCCATATTAAAGCTCTCTGTTACCTCATCTACTGGGGAAGATTCTGCAAGAACAGATAGTATAATTAGAGGCTACATGTATGTCAATGTCAATATTCTGGGATTAAACTATATGCTTGAGGTTTTCATGTTGCTAATCATTATGCAAGTGTGCATTTGTACATAAATACACTATATATCATTTTAAGCAAATTGTATTCAGAAAACATGATTTTTGGTACATGATACTTTGTCACTTAAAATTACCACAGAACATAGTCTAGCTACAAGCCCTTGCAACCCCCCCCCCCCCCCCCCCAACTACTGTGCTGTCTGGGTGAAGTAGATAAGTTGGGATCCACAGTCTTGAAGCAAGACTACATTGAACAGTGTCTAACCTGCAACATTGGAGAGACCTTGTATAAAAACTGCAGTGCTTTGATGTACCCTGGGTTTGCCTGTATGTTTAAATACAAGTCTATTGTGATTCTTTACATCTAGCAACTCTGGAAACATTTGCTGCATTCTATTCCCTGAAACAACACATCATATCCTTATTAAGTCTATCAACGAGATAATAGTAGTGCATGATTATGGCAATTCTCTATTGAGAGGTAAAGAATAAATAATACATGGCATATGGCAAATCTTGAAACTCAAAAAAATATGTTGCAATATTGAAATCCAGGATTTATCATCTCTATCAGATACAGTGAAACCTGTACAGTGGAACACCTCTAGAATAGTGTAACACATCTGTTAGATTACTTTTCAGAGTCCCAAGACCAACTGACATAATGTTAAATGAACATCTATAAGTGGAACACCTCCCAAGTGGAACACATTTAGAGGTACCAAAGGTGTTCCACTTAAACAGGTTTTACTGTACTTTAAGTTTAATCAAGAATTCTAGACAATAGGTATCAAGTAAAATGGGTGGGAGAAACACAAAATGATGAGCTATTATGTATGCTTCCTGTGTTCTCTACATGACTGTACAGCACCTACCCAGACCATACATCTCCTGTATTCCAACATCAGCAAGGTTCATGTTCATGTCTACATGAGACTGGTAGAGAAGATGCCACTGTTCTAATGCTTGGATCTCCTCACTACATAGTCGACCTAAAATACATGGAACATTTTATATATCAAGCTTCATCGATTTTAAAAACACATTTAATTATGTGAGATAAAATATTGCAGGTGATTACAGGGTTGAGAGAACCCTCCTCCTGGCCAAAATTTATTTCAGAATCATGCAGTTTTTCTCGGGAGTTTTCACCATACTGAGCATACTGACCACCATAATGACCCCGTGGATTTTGTTTGTATTGTGTATGACACAATGGGCACAAACATTTAAACAACATAAATCCATGTAAATCATATGAACAATATTAAATAAAACTAAACTTAACAACTAATGGATTACTTGTATATATTTCAACTTCAATAGACCACATATTATAGATATGTTCTTGTAGGCTGTATACATAGTATTTGAAATAGTCATCAATTGCTTTTGAGACCTTAAAGTGACCCATGATGACTTTGAAGTGTCTACTTTGGACTTCAACATTCAATATGAAAATTGACCATAAAAAAACATTCATGAGTGACACGATCAATTCTTGATTTAGCAGGTTTTTAATCACGCGTGTTAATGTAAACATTGCATGAATACAGTAAAATAAAAAAATAAAATATTCAATAAAATATACTGACTATACAAAGCATGCAAGTATATGAACAGAACACAGGTGAATCTGATGCAGTTTAAGGTGAAGTTCTCCTTCACTTCAGAAATGTTATCTTAACTGTACACCTGTAAACATCTACATGTTTTTCTTATTACAGCATTGAATCAATCATGCCATTCTCGTTTGAATGTGAACATACACAATAACATATAGCTGACATCTTGTGAAAAATGTATGTTTAGTAAAGCTGTTCTTTATCTTCAAAGTTTGCAAAAAATTATTCAAGGTCAATTGAATATATCAAGCTCTCAAAATAATTGAAAGGTAACCTTTTTTCGAAAATAAGTAGGTAAGCTAAACCCAAAAATAATTGATTATATTTTGGGGTAATTTAATAAGAGAGAATAGCTAGGTTATTACCTTTCTTTAGATGAGGTAATATGTCCTGCTCAATCTTTGGAAGCAAAGCTTGCATCCTTTTTATCTCCTCGATAACAGGAAATCTGGTTCCATGGCGACTGACCATATACACACCCTGGGCAACACATCCTGAAAAAGAAAAACATTCATTTTCTAGGTTCAAATAAAGAATATAAATAGTACCACGGGTACCGGGCCCATGGTATAGCTCAAAAAAAGACACGATTTTACAAAATGGCCACCTTAACATTTACCCAGAATGCACAAAAATTAATCAGGTGTAATCTTTCATCACATTTATCCAAAAAATGATTAATTGGCTCTCCATGTTGAGAAGACATGGGTTGGGTTTGGAACCTGAAAACAAGCCTTCATAAACAAGATTTAGGATGGAAAATTCAAAAATAGGCGATGATTTAGAGCAGATATAAATCTTAACTAAATTTGAAACAAAATTATTCTGTAAAACTTTTGTTGACAGTGACATGAGCTTTTACAATACATGATGGAACTATGGTACCTTTTGATATCCTATTAATGAACTAATAACATAAAGCAGGATATATAACAAAAGAGTTTATAAAATTCACAACAATATGCTATTATCACAATTTATCATTGTATCAAATAAATTTCACAAGCATGAAATTGTGGGACTAATTTTACAAAACCATATGTAGTACATTATTGCTAGATCTTGTATCTATAAAAAACTTACTAATGATGCTGTCCCCAGCTCCGATTTCGGTGATCGGCTAGTAAAAAAGGTTTGAGGGTATCATTTTGTTCTAGACACTCGCTAGAGTAAATTATCCTAACTTGAGTAAAAATGTGTGGTAAGTGAATTCGCTATGGGCAGTTAGAGAGGCGCCATCTATTCATTTTCAAACAGGGGGTAGGGGTATAAAATAATTTTTATCACATTTTAATAGTAAAATGACATTGAAATACTAAAAAAATCTTATCAAAAACATTATTTACAATCAGTATGAATTTTCTTGTGTGGATTAGGGTGAAAATAAGGGCATATTTTGAAATTCACTACAGGGGCACCACCTATTTTCGTACTTCTACCACATATAATAAGTTATTTTAGATTCGTTAAGGTACAAAATGTACTGAAAAAATTCATTCTGAAGGACCTATATATGTTCGTAGCACATACTTAAAATTGGATCAATAGCTTTTGTACCTGGGGAGAAAAAAATTCTTGAAATTTAAAATTGTGGCATCATGCAGGATAGGGGTGACCATATCTCACATGATTAACTTCCAAAATATGGAGCATATGTATCTCAAATGTACTCAAAATGGTGCATGTACTCTTGCTTTGTCATAATATTACTAATAAGAAGTAGAAAAATGATTGTACAATTTAAAAAAATATTAATTCTCATTTTGGCTTCTGACGTCCCAGGGGTGACCATATCTCACCTTAATAACTTCCAAAATATGGAGCATATGTATCTAAAATGTGCTCAAAATGGTGTATGTGTTCTTGCTTTGTCATAATATTACTAATAAGAAGTAGAAGAATGATTGTACATTTTAAAAAATATTAATTCTCATTTTGGCTTCTGACGTTCCAGGGGTGACCATATCTCACCTTAATAACTTCCAAAATATGGAGCATTTGTATCTCAAATATGCTCAAAATGGTGTATGTACTCTTGCTTTGTCATAATATTACTAATAAGAAGTAGAAAAATGATTGTACAATTTAAAAAATATTAATTCTCATTTTGGCTTCTGACGTTCCAGGGGTGACCATATCTCACCTTAATAACTTCCAAAATAGGAGCATTTGTATGTCAAATATGCTCAAAATGGTGTATATAGTCTTGCCTTGTCATAACATTACTAATAAGATGTAGAGAAATGATTGTACATTTTAAAAATATTAATTTTCATTTTAGCTTCCGACGTTCCAGGGATCCACTGACCATATCTCACCTTAATAACTTCAAAAATATGTAACATATGTATCTCAAATGTACTCAAAATGGTGTATATAGTCTTGTCTTGTCATAATATTACTAATAAGATGGAGGAAAATGATTGCACATTTTTAAAAATATTAATTCTCATTTTGGCTTCTGACGTCCCAGGGGTGACCATATCTCACCTAAAATATGGAGCATATGTATCTCAAATGTACTCAAAATGGTGTATGTACTCTTGCTTTGTCATAAAATTATACTAATAAGAAGATTATACATTTAAAAAAATTTAATTTTAGCTTCTGACGTCCCTCAATAACTTCTAAAATTATGTAACATATACAACTCAAATATACCAAAATTGGGGCATATGGTCTTGCTTTGTCAAAATATTATTCATGAGATGTAGAAAAAATTATTACACCTTTTTTAATCGAAATTTTCATTTTAGCTTCCGAATCTGACATCCCAGGGGCAACTATATCTCACCTTGATATAACTCTCACGATATGCAACATATGCATCTCAAATGCGCTCCCAAAATGGTATAAATATAGTCTCGTTTTGTCATATTTATTGAGATTCATGAAATCAGAAGTTCAGAATTTATGGATTGGACTGTCTCCCCTGCAGGCTTCAGCTGCATATAGTCCAGAGACATTAAGATCTACTTTCAAATATTTGCATCTTCTCCCCAAACACTCCTTATATTACAGGAACAATGGACGATAAGTCTTTTGCATGCCTTGGATGCAACATCTGTTGTATACTGGTAGCCTATCAGTAGTGTGAGTAGCCTAGCCTCATTTACCAAAATTGGCCCCTTAACCCCAAATCTGACCCGAAATTTTGAAAATATCCTGAAAAATTAGGCCTAAAAGGCGCATTTATGCCCAAACATACACCAAACTGTCCCACTGCTAAATTACAAGGGCGATAAGTTGCTTCTAATCCTGATTGACACTCTCTAGTTTGCATGGTTTGTCATGTTGTGCTATATTGTTATTGCCCAATCTCAACAGTTGTATTCACTGTATGGCCTACCGTGCCAAGAATAATGCAATTGTTCCAAAAGCTAAGCTCTTCTTTGGGACCCTAGAAGTGTGGGACATCACAATCATAGATTAATATTTCATTACAATCAATGTATGTTGTATGACAAACATGCAAACTAGAGAATGTTAATGTGGCTAGAAAGATTTATCATTACAAAGAGCTCCTTTTCCCGTATTTTCCATACTCAAAATCCCTTAATTCAGTGTATAATCCAAGGTGCATATATTGCAGGCCACAGGATAACATATTAACACCTTACATTAGCAGTTGCCATTACTTCATGAATGGAGTAAAGTACTCCCACTATTGACAGGCTAAAAGGATTCCGGTATGGATTACAAAAGATGTTGGGTCCAAGGTATGCAAGGGAATAATCTCATCCATTGTACTTGTAAAGGGTGTTTGGGGAGCAGATGCAAATATTTGAAAGCAGATATTATTTGCCCTGAATTATATGTAGCTGTAGACAGTAGAGGAAACAGTCAAAATCCATTGATTCTGAACTGTTGATTTTATGATTCTCAATAAATGTGACAAAACAAGACTTTATTTATACCATTTTGAGCACACATTTGAGATGTATATGTTGCATATCGTGAGAGTTATCAAGGTGAGATAGCCCCTGGGACACCAGAGGCTAAAATTAAAATTTATAAAAAATGCAATCATTTTTCTACATTTCATTAGTAATATGAAAAAGACAGGACTTTTCTGAGAATATTTGAGGATTATATTTTACATATCTTAGAAGTTATTATTATTATTATATGGTGCGATATGATTACCCAGGAACTTAAGAAGCTAAAATTAAAATTTTTGAAATGTATAATCATTTTTCTACTTCTTATTAGTAATATTATGAAAAAGCAAGAGTACATACACCTTTTTGAGTACATTTGAGATACATATGCTCCATATTTTGGAAGTTATTAAGGTGAGATATGGTCACCCCTTGGACGTCAGAAGCCAAAATGAGAATCAATATTATTTTAAATGTACAATTATTTTTTTTTACTTCTTATTAGTAATATTATGACAAAGCAAGAGTACATTCACCATTTTGAGTACATTTGAGATACATATGCTCCATATTTTGGAAGTTATTAAGGTGAGATATGGTCACCCCTGGGACGTCAGAAGCCAAAATGAGAATTAATATTTTTCAAAATGTACAATCATTTTTCTACTTCTTATTAGTAATATTATGACAAAGCAAGAGTACATACACCATTTTGAGTACATTTGAGATACATATGCTCCATATTTTGGAAGTTAATCATGTGAGATATGGTCACCCCTATCCTGCATGATGCCACAATTTTAAATTTCAATAATTCTTTTCTCCGCCAGTACAAAAGCTATTGATCCAATTTTAACTATGTGGTATGAACATATATAGGTCCTTCAGAATGAATTTTTTCAGTACATTTCATACCTTAACGAATTTAAAATAAGTTATTACACGTGGTAGAAGTATGAAAATAGGTGGCGCCCCTGTAGTGAATTTCAAAATATGCCCTTATTTTCACCCTAATTCACACAAAAAAAATTCATACTGATTGTAAATAATGTTTTTGATAAGATTTTATTAGTATTTCAATGTCATTTTACTATTAAGATGTGTTAAAAATTATTTTATACCCGTACCCCCTGTTTGAAAATGAATAGATGGCGCCTCTTTAACTGCCCATAGCGAATTTACTTACCACACATTTTTACTCAAGTTAGGATAATTTACTTTAGAGAGTGTCTGGTACAAAATGATACCCTCAAACCTTTTTTACTAGCCGATCACCAAAATCGGAGCTGGGGACAGCATCATAAAACAAAAAGTTCTGCTTCCAAGGTTGTCAAATAGTAAAGATTTAATATGATAAGGGCTCAATAAGTAATAATGAGCGAGCCAGCTGTTTGTAACCTATGGATTGTCAATGATTTTACTTGAGGAAAGTTCATTGTTTTATTTCACTATTTGACCTTGCATGACCCTGACCTAAAATATAATTGTGCTGACCTTCTGTGACATTTTAAAGATTTCATGATTTTGGCAATTGATAAATGATATTATGAAGTTCAAAAATTACATTTGAAGCCTTCTAGGTTTTATCAGAATGACAAGAGATATTAATACTAGTTTCTTTTGACCTTTACAGTGATCTTGACCTTACTGACCTGTAATTTGCTGAAGCAATGACCTCTTTGACATTTAACACAGGGTTCGTGACTTTAGAAACATGATTTCAACGTCTTACTCAATCACCAAGGGTAACAACTAGTTGCCACAATGGCAGTCATGCAGTGTTCATTTGCTGGACTTGAGGTTCTAGGAGACTCAACCAAATTAAACAAATAGGTGATTGCAATTAACAGCTCACACCATGAGAGCTTAAAATTGTTATTTAAAACCTATTGATGGTTAAGATGAAAATTAACTCAAGAGGCAATTAAATTTATAAATTACAGTAAAAAACAGGTGCATGTATATTAATTTCACATACATTTGTATATTACATATTATCAGTGTTTTCTAATTCAAGTAGGCTGCTTTAAATATGTATTAACACAAAGCGTGATATTTTGTTTTTCAAGTGCATGTTATTATCATATTTCATAAGTTGATAACCACAATAACATAACATATAGTTTTGTAAGTTCAGTAGTTTTTAATAAAGACTGTGTTTTATCTTGCAGGAGTCTATAGTCTTCAACTACAAGTAAATATTGATAACCCCATACATTTTGAAACAAAGTCTGCAAATAATCTTATAAGAGACAGTACATACACCCATAATATTTTCCTAAATTCCTGATTATTGCCTTTCTTTTGGTATATTAAAGCACCTGGTATTTAATGCATTCAATGACTCTCTTCTACCATTATATCATTTGTACTTGCCGAGATGTTACCTTTATTGATAAAATGAAAACTTGACAAAAACTTTTTTCCTGCAAATTCCCAAATATCCTTATAAGGTATTATAGATAAAGGAATCCATTTTCTGTAATTATATTGTCTAGAAGGAACATGGACATTCAGACAAGAACAATAGGGGAGGGGGTGGTGTTTCATTTTGAAGTATGTATATGAATCCAGCCTCAGAAAAATGCATGTTTTATGACTGAATTTAAATAAATAAATGTATAGAAAAACCTTTCTTAGTGAAATACCTAAAAATTGTTTTCTACTTGGGGGTGTTTCTTTTACAGCGATTCATTTTGCACTGAGTAATGGATAGTAAGAAAGGTGTTCACTAAATTATGGAGGTGTTCCACATAATGAAGTCTTCTATTTTACAGGTTTTACTGTACATGTATGTGCAAAATGTAAGGTAAAATACATAATATAAACAGCATAACATGTTTACATCTACTTTCTCACCTCATTATCTATATGATAGCTATAAAATATTTACCTTGAGGTGGGTCATCTTTCAGATCTGCAGATTCATTATGAATGACACCATAAACTGTTCTTGTACTATAAAGTCTGTATGCACTTTCGTTGCCATGGTAATGACACTTTTGGTCACTATTGTTACTGGATATTGTTGTATACAGTGTTTGTAAGATGAAGACAAGACATGATAAAATGGTTGATGCAGCATATATCTGCTCCATCACTAATACTTTTCTCCAATGTTAGCTAAGAGCATTAGTTCTGTAGCGATAATGTATCAAGTACATAATGTTTGGTTTTTGATTCATCACTGATATAGTTACAAGGACTGACTATTCACGTAGCCACTCTATTTATAATCACTTGTAAATAGCCATCCTGTTCAATATATCACTGTTTATATTGTAAATGTACTTCAGAGTGTTGATTTCAAAATATCATTCTCAATCATATATGATATTCGCCAATTGCATATTCTGAAAAAGTAATGAAAATATGTTATTGCTAAATGAATAATATATATAGATAAATCATGTGTCATACAAAGCAGTTTTAATACCTGAATTTAGGAATGGGGGTGTTATTCTATACTAATAGGATCGCCATGAGTACAACTTGCTGTTGCCATGAAGAATAGTTATAAGATACAAATAAGAATAATTTTTTAAAAATCTGTATATGAGAGTATGAACAGACAAAGCATTTAATGTACATGGCAAGATTTGTGACCCTTAGGCCTTAATGCCCCAAAAAGTAGGGCTTTTGATCATTACTGGGCCTTTTAAGGCCTTATTTTTTAATTTCAGGCCAAATTTTCAAGAAAATGAGCCTCAAAATTTGGGCCCAAAATTTTTTCTCGGACCTGAAATTTAGCCCCCCCCCCCTTGTTGGTTCCCAGATCCACCCCTGTATTCTTTCAAGTAGTACAAGAATTGATCAACACTAGTTCAAATCTTTCGGATTGCTATTTTGATTCATACCCAGAACAGACATCAACATTTTCGATGTTGTTATCCAAATGGCTTGAATATCAGCCATTTTCTAGTCGTTTCTTTTATTTTCAAACTCAAACTTTTTCCTAGTACACAGCATTAAACATGCCATGATGTCTATTGGCTAGAGACTCCAATAAGGGATTTTAACTTTCAATTACGTGGTGTATATCATCAGCTTAAATTGGACTTTCCATTTGAATGAATGATAAATGATGATGAATAAGAACCCTTTATCCACAGACTTGAGTCAACATGTCTTTCAAAACTTACTGCCATATAATTTAACCAGGATTAGAAACAAGCAGCTTTGGCAGGAGAGCCCAGGAGGTCACGTGATCACCTCTTTATAAACAGGCATCATTGGTTAACTCTTGGAAAACATGTGCTTGTGATTGATCAGGTGATCATATCATGCTATTTGATTGGACATCGTATAGACTGATGTACATAATTCTGAAAACGTCATCCATTGCCAAAACTCTGACTGGATCTTACCAGTCGACAAGAAACAGTCAAATGAGGCTAATAGATACTTACCATTTGCAGGTACATGTATGAAGCTTTGGATTCATTTATTGTGCTACTTAGAGTGAACGGGAATTATTTTTCTCCCGCTTGGGAGAGTTTGAGACATGAAACTTAGAATTTAGCTCATTTAGACAACTTTTGATGGTTGAGGTTTATTAATGTCTCCGACTATACAGTTATCATTTTGAGTGAAAGGATACTATACGACTCTTGTTAATATAGGTGTGCAAGTCACAAAGATGAGCTAATAGGCAAGAAAAGTGAAATAAAACAGGTCACTTTATTTTTTGAATTCCTGTTTCCAATCCTGGTAAATTATATAGCAATAGATCTAACTTTCAAAAGAAACATTGACTACAAGTTCGTGCCTTTATAATTTTCAAAAATCAAAAAAAATCAAAAAAAAATACATGAATAAATAAATGTCCCATTGAAATATTTGCCCATAAAATAGTGCTGATACCATAGGGTAGTACTGTAGTAATCAATACATATAATTCATGAATTATTATGTATGGATTACTACAGTTCTTAACCTGGGCCTATGGTTGATACACAGGAATTCGTCTAGAAGGAAAAAGAAGTCAATAGAGCAAGCCTTGACTCAATAAAAACTCTGTGTTGATACTAGGCCTATTAGTCAATCAAACATGGTAATTCATACTTACAAATACTAATGGACATGGTAGAACCAAACTATAACTTAGAATGTTTGATGTTAAGACCGTTTAAGTCCTTCAATCCCCAGTAAATCAACACAAATGGACGATACATACATTCCAAACTTGTTGCGAACTTCACTTCCGTATTTGTAATGTCACGTGATATTATTTACTTCCTGTTTATCGCAGGTATCCCAGGGTGCATTTCGCCAATTACTAAACAGGACAGGTAAGTTTACAACAGGTGAGATATCTCACTTTATTTTACTATATCGGTCCTTTTAAGGTATCAGTGATGGCCAAAAATTAACTCAAACATACTCACTACGTTTAGCAATTGTCTAGGAAATCAGAGTACACGATTTGGCGGTAGAATTACAAATTTTATTTTTATTTATTTTTAGTCAACCTGGAAACTAGTTCAACGTCGTTAAACTCAATAACGGCGTTATTTATTATTAAGAATTTTCTTGGGGCCATTATTGAGTTTAACCTCCTTACTATTCTTTCCATTGATGCACGGACATCTAATACGTTCTTCGAATTGCCCTGGAACTATATTTATACCAGGACTGGCATCCAGATCCAAGTATTTTTTAAGACCGCCGACTCTCGTTGGGCTATTTATCCCTATTGACTCAGTTGTTCATATAAATTTACGTACCTTAGATGCTTTGTAATCGACGTAGATAGAAAATATTGTTTCCTAAATTGTTCTGGAAAGCGATAATTATAACTAAATGTACTTTGAACAGGTCGACTGACAAAAAAGCCGGGCTTCTGTCACGTCTCGTTCTCGCTCTCAAACAAAACGTGAAGAACGTGACGTCACTTCCGAATCATAGCATTCAAAATAAGTAGCGTTTAAATCCCAATACTATATGTAACATATCGGTGGTCTAGGGGGAGAATCCTCGCTTAGCACGCTGGAGGCCCGGGTTCGAATCCCGTACTCGCTCTTTTGTTTTTTTTCGAGGTCGTTATCTTCATCGTCTAGTTTACGAATACCATTGTCGATGTGATGTTTTAATTGATAAATACGAATTCCTTACACATTTTGTTATCTTATTGTGAAATAGCAAACTAAGAGATATCTTTACTCGCTAGGAATTAACATAATATTATTTGAAGCGATTTTAGAAAATTTTGAAACCGCCATCTTGGTAATATTGATGACGTGATCACCATCGGTCAAGGTCAGGTCAAAAGTCATCCATCTTGCCATTAGCCCCGCGGATTGTTACCAGTCGACAAAAAACGATGAAATCACGTTAAAAATAAAATATACACTTTAAACTTGAGGCTGATCGAATATGACAAGACTCCATTGAATACAGCTGTGCAATTTACAGTCACCAAGATGAGCTAATTTCGGAGAGATTCGGGAATTAAAAAAGGTAAGCACTTCCGGTTTCCCAACTTAAAAGTATTTGAAGTCCCAGAATTTCGCCAGAAACATTCTCTCTGACTGTGCATTGATGCAAGTTTTGGATCCACCGAAACCATTTTTCCGCGATAACATGCAACTGATACTTGACAACAATATAAAAACACATAACATCAAGCGATTAAACACAATATTATTGTATTAAATGGTCATTTATACAAGTAAAATGAGGTTAAACTTACCAATCTCTAAAATGACATTTCCGCATGTCCGCCATTGTGTCTGTTCGTCCCGGGTTAAAATGTAAACTATTGAAACGAAATTGTTGTCAAATAGATTGATAATTATCACGCGATTACTCGGGATAAAATAACTATTTTTGAGGATAGCAGGTATCTTTGATTGATTTATATAGCGCTTGTATACACACAAAATAGTTATTAATTGCAAACCTACTGTTCGTTGATGCAGTGTCGCAATGACGGTTAATTCCTGATACGATTTGCAATTTCGATGTTACCGGAGTTGACCGATATTTTCGTAAAATTCCAAACCTGTCTCCAATATTTTCGTAATTATGCATCAATATGGTCTAAGGGGGGTACGGGATGGTGTGTATGTATTTATAAGGTATGTATGCATGCTTGAATCACATTCTTTATGTAATATTACCATGTTTTCGGAGTTTAATTAGTTCCGCATGTCGGAACCTGCTGAACGACTAAATTTAACACATCAAGGGCAAAATGGTCATGGAGGTTAGACCTAGCAGGGGCCATAAGACATGTCAGATAAGAAACGAGGCCCAGGCTAGGTCTAATGTTGTTGGACTACCTGGAAACAGGTCAATGGTAGAATTGTTTTCATGGCCTGAGTTCGTCGCTAACATGCTAAATGTAAGAGTTAGCTGACGTTTGGGAGTCTGACTTACCTTCTAAAGGTTAGAACCCGAATCTTATGAAACCATATCACCTTTGTTCCGTCAACCATGGAGCATTTGCCACAACATCCAAGAGGTAAATCATGGACCGTGAAAATGAATGCTTTCCTTGTAAGTTTCGGAAGTTTCAATACGAAAAATTACCGAACATATGTGAAAACTGAATATTTGTTCGTTGTTTTCACGATTTACAGGTTCGTTTGTTCTTCAATGTTTTGGTCTAAATTATAAAGCATCACCAACAGGTCTTACTCTATTAATCGACTAATACAGCAGACGGCTCATATTTCTACGTAGCATTTCGTTCAGACCAATAGTGGGAGTGTAGATCACGTAGTTTCGTTCGTTGCGTACTTCACTTGAAATTGGTAATTTTAAATATTGGCTACTTCACTTAGCTTGGCGGATATAGAACATTGCTTAATATTCTTTTAATTTTCACAGCAGACATGCTTGGTTGACACATCAACAAAGTAAAGTTCAAGGGTCAATGCGTTATTTCGTGATAACTACAACGCCTTCCCGGAAGTCAACATTGATGAAAAATGAAAAAGTCGGAAAAGCATTTACATGTACACTAATTTCTATCAAATGCTGTGTTTATGCATCATCATCGACGCAACAAAGGTGATATGGTTTCATTAAGATTCGGGTTCTAACCTTTAGAAGGTAAGTCAGACTCCCAAACGTCAGCTAACTCTTATATTTAGTATGTTAGCGACGAAGTCAGGCCATGAAAAAAATTCTAGTCTATATCCAATAGACTGAATTTCCTGAGAATTCAGTCTATTGATCATTATGTCCCTCCTGTGGGAAAAAACAGGAAATTTCCTGCAAACTATTATCAATTTTAGGAAACTTCACTTCCCAAAAATAAGCATAATTTATAACAATTCAATTAAGTAGTAAGGTACAATTAAACATGCTGTAAAAAGTAACACAGCATATTGTCAAATGGAAATAAAGCTAGAAGTAACAAATATGCAAAATAATTTACCCAGTCGGCCATTTTGAATGGCACTTCCTAGGATCCTATGAACAAATAAATTTTCAATCCCAAATTTTAACATGTGTGGGCTATAGTCTGAATATTTTCATTCCAAATTTCAAAAAAATTTCAGACTAGAGGATATAGTCTAAGGTCAATGGTAGCTCAAGTCTAGCCCGGGTGCAATAGATAACATGTGTAAAATTCTGAACTTACTATATGATTCTTAAGTGACTCAGAGACTAATAGGTAATCACTCTTTCTTCTGGAAAAATCTATTGCCTCAATCTGGGAAACTCTTTGACCCAATATCTCAAATCTGAAGGGACTTGGAACGATAGTAGGATGAAGATTGTGTTGTTGTTGAAGATGGAAAAGTAGAACATGGGTCACACATGTGCTGTAAACCTGCGTTCACTGTTTCCTGCTGTTGCCAACTGTTTTGAAATTCAAACTCTTATATAATATACATAAAGTCCGCTATGCTGAAATTATAAGATAACAATGATAATGTGTTTCCAGGTCGTGTCATCATTGATCGACACAAAAGAAAGCAAAATACTCATTACAAGATTGAAACAGAAAATTATTACTATGGCAACAGAAACAGGAGGAGCTGCTAGGCAACCAGCAGAAGAAAACAATAGTGATGCTAATACAGATGCTGTTACGTTGTCTGTAACTCAAGAAACTTCTGCTGAACAGAGACCCTCTCAACCTCCATCCTATGACAGTATCTACAAAGATGGCCCCCCTTCAGAGTATCTTCAGCAAAGTAATGCTTACATCATTGCCACTCCTAGTGTCCCGCCACCCCTGCCTTCTCCACTTATGGCAGAAATAGAGCGAGATCGTGTACATAGAGAGAGAAATCGCCAGAAGATGGGGCCATCACTCTCACAGCGCACACGAGTCAAACTTGTGGGTTGTGTGATATTTGGTATAATGGCTGTTGTCGTCATAGCAGTGGTCCTCTCACGGGACCATAAGTCTAAAGGTGCAGTTTGTTATTCATATAAAATATTTTATTCATTGGATACTGCTGTAGTTACATATTGGGAAAACGACACAAGATTATTTTGGTATGTGTCACTAAAATTGTATCCAACTCATATGACGTCTTGAAAATAGTATCCATTGGATTTTTCATGCAATAAAATAAAAAAAATTAGGAGGGAATAAGAAAACAACAACTTCTAGGTCAAATTAAAAACAGCGACCATACAAAAACAGCGACCATAGGATGAATATGATATCCTATGATTATCTCGGGCTATCACTTTTATCCACTCTTAGATATCCCCGATCTCCCCTCATTCGCTGCACTCACTCGTGGAGATGGGCGATATCCACTCAATTTTTGTCTTTGTTGCCTTTTTAAATCATTAGAAATCAGTGTCAAACAGTAATTGACCATGTAAGGTTTGCATTGATTGTGCCAGGTTATCAATATTTTAATTTGATTTCAGGGAGTGAGACTAGTGGTTGGAATGCTTGGAGTGATTATGGTAGTTGCTCACACACTTGTGACAGAGGAGTGCAGTATAGAACAAGGTCTTGCCAGGCCCCTGGCTATTGTGCAGGCACTAGTTCAAATTCAAGATTCTGCAAGATGAAAGACTGTCTTCTCCAAGCTGGTTCAGAGTACGCTTGGAGCGCTTGGACCCCTTGTAGTGTCTCATGTGGAACTGGCACCCAGTTCAAATTCCAATACTGCAAGGATGGTTTCACATGTGATGACTTTTATGCTGACAAACCCGAGAGTAGGGAGTGCAACACACAACTTTGCGAAGCTCAAGAGGATGACGATGAGGAAGCATTCCCAGAACCTGAACCAAATAAACCCAAATACAGTTCATGGGAAGCCTGGACACCATGCTCCAAGTCATGTGGCTCAGGGCTGAAGTCAAGGTCACGAACCTGTGAGGACCCTCCATACCTCTGCTCAGGGGTAGATTCTGAAACAACCTGCTGTAACATCGAACCCTGTGTGGAGGAAACTGCTTGGATTGGTGATTGGTCAAACTGTTCAAGTAAATGTGGGGTTGGAGTTTCCCATCGTAGATATAACTTTAGTTATGACCAAGTGAAATATGTAGAGAAGCCATGTTATACCCCATGTTTGGGTGAGTCCAACTGGATGCCATGGGGTTGTTGGGTATGTATCGGGCAGACATCATACAGAAATAGAACATGTGACAAACTGGGACCTAATAGTTGTGCAGGTGAACCAGTTCAGGGTGATGGAACGTGTCGATTTGATAACTACTAAAGTGCATAGTTATTTTTCAGGATTTTCATTTTTTATGATGACCATGATATTTAACAGAATATCAATACTGTAACTCATTCCAATTATTGTTAATGCACTTTTCTCCTTTATGAGATGAAAACTAACCTCAATAATCAAATGTATTTAGTCCTTTTAATAGTAAGATAATGAACATGAAGGTTGGACCAGCTGATCTGAACTAAGTCAAATATAGGTAACTTACACTTTGTGGCAGTGAACTCAAACGAGGAATGAAAACATTGTAAATCTCCTCTGGATTAGTTTCATCAATGGGGAACATTAGTATCAAAAGTAAGTTACTTAAAATCAGAGGTTTACTAATATCAAACAAATTTTGTTAACCATCTTGGATGATACTAACTCCATTTTATATCGTCCTGCTCTGGACAATTAGTGATGTCAAGAGCAGCCAAAATGCCTATTTGATCTTATTACTACTTTTCAGAACGATGTAATTCATTAGGGGTTTCAAGAGATATTTTTCCATATTGTACAGTTTGCTAGCTGGTTCCAGGCGCCTCGCCAAAAGTTGTGAGAAAGATATTTTTTGATGTTTTTCAACTAAAACTGTGAACATAATGTCTTTCAGAATTATTCATAGTTGTATATTTTTGATAAACATAAACTAAGCATCAAATACATTATACGTGTATCCCTATAGAAGAATACTCAGAATATCTTATTTGTTATTCATCAAGATCTGTATATTAATCATTGTGAATAGCATTTTGTATTTTCATGACATATATTATTAGACTAAATAATCTTTAACAAATAGTACATATTGTATATGTATATTTTACTGGGTGATAGGATATGTGTTTTATCCAGAAGGACAAAATATGGATAAACCCATATCCTATCCTGATTTCTGATGAGTAAATTATTATTTTATTCCATTTGAACATTTCCATTTATGTACGGTATTGTACAATTAGAAAGGTCTCCACTTATAATTTCACCAATATTGTCTTAAAATCACTGAGATTAAAGCGAAAAAATTCAGAACAGAATTACATCTTTCCTGACCAGTTTAGAACTGTCAATTTACACAAAATTGCCAAAATGTCCTGGATGAATAGCGGACTAAATTTTTGTAATATATTAATACAGTTCTTGGTGTGACATTGAGCAGGAATGTATGTTGGATAAGAGATATTTGTGTATAGCCTCTACATTGTTATGTTACAAGAATGTTTTGCATGTACATGTATATTTAACAATTACATGTATGTTTACATGGATGTGCATGTAAATATGTACATGTATTATAAATACCGGTATGTTTAACTGTTCTGATATACTCAATCATTTTTGTTGAAAATGCATATTACTTGATATGCTGTCATTGTACAGCATGAACATACCTGCCAACCTATTTTTACGGGAATCTACCGTAAAATTTTCGTTTTTCAGTAAAAAAAGTGACAAACTACCGTAAAGAATTTGCCATTTCTTTTTTGGAAAATGACAGGAAAAAAATCTACCGTAATTTTACTGAAATCTACCGTAGAATATTTTAAGAACGGCCGTAAAATATACTTTAAATATTTGGAAATCTACCATATTTCTGCTGAAATTAACAGTATTCTTGTTCAAACTACCGTAAAATCTATGGTTATTATTTGGAAATTCTGAAAAATTCAAGTCTTCCTGTATTGCCCTTGTAATATTCCATTACCAACCCGAAAATAAATAGTTGTCGGCAGGTCTGTGACAGTGGTTATTGCGTACTTAGTAAGTAACTAAGAAAGCTGGCGTGTAATCAGTCAACACACTGGGGAGTATCGTGATGCAAAAACACTGTTCAACTACCACAGGTTCTATTGTAGTTATAAAAACACTGAAGTGTTCAAATTGTTAGTCTGTTCTGTTAGAGTTCCGTGAATGCTGTGTCAGAAAAACATACTTTATTATTTATTCATTGAAGTTTGTCGAAATCTACGCAAAATCAGTTTTTTATATCTACCTCAAAAACTACCGTATGTTTTCAAAATCTTCCGCAAAAACTACCGCATTTTTTATTTTAATCTACCGTAAAACTACCGCATTTTTCAAAATCTTCCGCAAAACTATAGTTTTTTCAAAAATCTACCGCAAAAACTACTGCATTTTTTCAAAATCTATCGTAAAACTACCGCATTTTTCAAAATCTTCCGCAAAACTAGTTTTTCAAAAATCTACTGCAAAACTACCGCATTTTTTCAAAATCTACCTTAAAACTACCACATTTTTCAAAAACTTCTGAAAAAGTACAGTTTTTTCAAAGATCTACCGCAAAAACTACCAAATTTTTTCAAAATCGACCATAAAACTAACGCATTTTTGTCGAAAAATACAACAAAAACTACCGCATTTTGAAAAATCAACCGCAAAAATAACGCAATACGGAAAAAAACTACCGCAAATTTTTGGTCTTAGGTTTGCAGGTATGATGAAATATCAGATAGATAATTATGATATTTGAGCCTGGCCATAGGAAAACTGGTCTTATCACAAAAATTAAAATTATGCTACAGAGCCAAAAATGTGGCCAAGATTAAGAGGAAAATATGCTAAATTCAAATCCGAATTTTTGGTCTATACAGGCAAGGGAAAATTGTTAAGGCATAAGCCATGTCTCATTTGAAAGGCCTCTTAGTGCTTTGTAAGAAGAACAAAAAATCAGATTATTGAAAAAATCTGTAATAAGACCCCTTTTCCTGTGACCTGGCTCATTTTATGAAAGTGTTCACATTATATTTTGTATGACTTGTATATTTTGTTAAATAAAAAAACGACATTTAAAAGAATTGTATTTTAGTCTAAATGTCCAGTTGTGAACTCTCTGGTCTGAATAGTTTTACATTTCAGAATATTGAAAAACATAAAAAAGCAGCTCAGCAGGTTCAAATCTATACAGGTGTATACCTGTGCCAAAATGTTAAATAAGGAATCAGCAGCACATGCCTTGTCATGCTTTTACAAGGTAGGATAAAAACTATGATCAACAAAGACAACTAGGCTGCTAAAAGGCAATAGGAATGTATAAGTGTCACATATGAATAAATTTATTTTCTCAACCTGTACCCTTAGTAGCCACATGACATGACATGTGAATGTCCTAAGTAATTGGTTTATATAAATAAGAAGCCATATACATGTAATATCTTTTGTGGTCAGTCCACTTCTGGCTTGATTGAAGGTTGAAATCACTGTGGCGTGAACACCACATCATGTTTCATATATATTATGCACTGGATTTCAGTGTATTTTCTGTATTTGTGTTTCATTAAACCTCAGTTTAATATTTGGAGTAATTAAAGAATTAGTGGGAAAATGGATCCTAAATCCTTAGAACCCATCCCCCTGAAATAAACAGAACTTGACTTTGCATATTCCGATCCTTCAAAATGCAAATCAAGAAAGAAATCAGTACCCTCTGTAAAGAATTTTTAGTGTAGTAGAGAGAAGCAGAGTCCAGCTTTTTCATGAAGTATGTCTTAAGATTTCAGAAAAATGAAACTGAAAGTTTTGTTTCTTAGTAGAGTAAAACATGGCCAATCTTTTGATCCTTCATAAACTCATGGACTTAATAACTGTATCTTGACAAAAGAATATCTAATCTCAGGATAAATTATTCTTTTATGTACCTTTTCAAATTTGAAACCTCAGCTCAGAGTGCAATACATTATAAATCTGATGGTTTGGAGGACCCAAAAGGGTTGGATTGAAGAAAAATTGTTTGTCTTTTAATTTTCAAATGTTTGACTTCCCCACCATATCGCACCAAAAGTTAAGCTATTTAGATCATATAATACAACACTAAACACCATAAATAAAGGTTGTGTACTGGGAGGTTTTGGATATGGGGTTTATCCAGAGGGAGATATGCATATCTACCTGAGGGACCGAATATAGATGTGCGTATCTCACGTGAGATAAACCCCATATCCAAACCGACCATACATAACTGCTTTATCTTATATCCAGTAGTTTTCTAATTTTTTCAATCTTTAGTTTTTGTCATTTTTTCCAAAATTAAATTATTTTCAGTGGGAACATATGTCCTGGGGCGGGAGATATGGAGGTTTCGTATATGGAAACCTCAAAATCAGAATACGGGATAAACATGTATCTTACCAACTTATCTCCGTAAAACTCTACTGGGCATGGGATAAAACAGGTTATTTCCTACACTTAGGATAGATCAAGAAAAGTTGTTTTGTTTCAACCATTTATTTTTGTTTCAAGTTTTTCAAAAAACAAGATTTTGAAAGGAAGAAAGAGACGAGACAAAATGCCTTAAACGTTTCCCGGGGTCTTCAACGTAACGCTTATTTTCAACAGACTTTTTAGATGCGATGTGTATCAGAATGCTAAAACTATTAATTCTTTGAGAAAAGGTTCTCGTTTTAAAGGTAAAATAACGTGTTTTGAAAATACTACATAAAAATTCATCAATTTTTCATGGAAAAGGGTTAGAGTTCAAAAAAGTAACGTTTTAAAGGCAAAGTATGTGTTTTAAAAAGGCCTACAATAAATCCATTCTTCGTGAAGAAATGTTTAAAGATGCTTGCCATAGATTTCTCCCCCAGACAATCAATGATGTCCTATTGTTATTGCTCATATAACATCTCACATGCCATGGATATATCTTGAGAATAACTTTGGGTATATTATTGCCGAAATATCGGAAGTAATCAACAGAACAACCAAACTCCAGAATTAAACACAATATCGATTCCTCGGCTAGCGAGAGGAATCCCCATTGAGTCACACAAGCGCCCACAAACGCCTTGAACCAGGCAGCCAATCAAGTTTATGATAAACAAATTCAATGATCAATCGGATTATAATCTAGGACTTTCCCGGTATATTCAAACTTCAGATTAAATTAATTTCTTCGAAAATAATTAGATCGGCCAGCAAAATCGCAAAATTAACACTGAACGAGGGGGATTTGGGACTTCTTCTTTTGGTATTAAGTAGATGGGTATGGGTATATGGTGTGGTGAAACTCAATATGCAAAAAAGTAAGGGTCTTGATTGTGCTATCCATGGACTTTCAATTAGAAGAGTATGCAACTCTGTGTAATAACATGAGACCTTCAAAATGAGCAATGCCATGCTTCCCTTTTATGGTAATATTTCAAAAAGTATTAGATAAAATGTATATGTTTTAGTATTATTTTCAATAAAAATCAATTTTCAATAGGATTGGAGCATAAAATATATTCAATCTCATGTAAAAGTAAACAAAAAAGACCAATAAGAATAAGAGGTATCATGGTGTTCTCTTCGAGTGTTGCATTGTGAGTAATTATTCAAGAACACATTCCAATAAAAACATAATTTGTGGGAGAATGTTCACTCTCTGTATTGTCATAATTATGATGAATGCCTACATAAAAATCATCCATTCTGCTTGGAGAAAAGTCCAACAATGTAACGTTTTAAATGCAAATTTTTAAAATGACGTACACAACAAAATTCATCCATTCTTCTTGAAGAAAAAGCCTCCATCATTTCCATATAAATTCATCAATTCTTCACTTAGACTGGTGATCCACTCGATTACGCTGGTTACCGAAGTTCGTTTCGGTAACAAAATGTCGGAACATCGAAGCTACGAATTTTCTTTTTTCCTTATTTCACACGTTGTAGGCAGACTTCCCACGACATTTTTATCATAAACGTGTATCAGTATCATATGTTTAAGAAAATGTACACATTTGTGAACAAATAGTTCAGAAGACAACAGAATCGTCGATTTAATTCCTCACTTAAGTTACAGAAACGGTATTTCGAAAAACAGTGAAGATCTGCACTTTTAACCCTTACCGTTTCTGTAACTTAAGTGAGGAATTGAATCGACAATTCTGTTGTCTTCTGAGCTATTTTTCGCAAACATCACTGATACGTTTGTGAGTAAAAATGTCGGGGAGATTCTGCCTACAACGCGTACGAAGGGACAAAAAATCGTACTACCTTCGACGTTCCGACATTTTGTTACCGAAATGAACACCGTTTCGCCCACAGGCCCAGGAAGATTTAAACCTCCCCCACCCCCCAGTCACTGTATAGCTAATGTTTTTTCTACCTAATACATAGTGAGTGGGAGGGGGATGAACTCTTGTTCCCGTGTCTATGGTTTCGCCAATCGTAATCGAGTGATTCTTCCATTTATCTCCCTTAAAATATTGCGTTAAATACTCATAATAGAAAATAGAGTTATCATTTATCACGCCCGGTGATCGTACAAAATGGATGGAGGGGGAGGGCGATTTCTTCAATAAAACTTGAAAAAATAAATCTTCCAAATTTTTTGAGTTTTCTAACCCCCCTCTATACATTTTGTACGATCACCGGGCGTGTTTATGCTTGTCATTCATCCCCACCTTAGGCCATAGGTAAAAGGGTAGGAGGTCCTATCAAATAATGTCCGAGGCTACTCTCCATTGATTTATATGGTGACCTCTTTCCCTTACTATCGTTAAATATAGTTAAAACTGAGTGCATTTATTCAATCATGCGACATTTAAACGTTTTATACATTTTCTTGGCCCATGGATCCCAACGTTAAATACCGTTGTGAATACGCTCTTGGATGATTTCGGATCGTCCCCGATATTATTTCAGACTTATATTTGGACTTAATAAATTAATCCATTATAACCCATTGTAACTTCTAGGACCTGGGAGACTCTCAATCCTAAGGACCAGCTAGATGGAAAAACTAAGCCGAAATATGTTCTCCCGGGGACTGTTAATTTGTGAATGCGGCGTGTTGATCTCCAAAATTTCACCCTCCCCAGAGACAAATAAAATGTTTTATATGTCTCTGCCTCCCCTTACAAGAGGGGCATGGCCAACAAGCCGAAAAATAAAAAATAGATAACGCTTCTAATGCTTCTAGTAATCTGGACATTATTTCAAGCTCTTCCAAATTGAACATTTTTTCCCGGGAAGATTCAACTGAAAAAATTAATTTTATACCGCTACAGCGAGAATATATACGAGGGAAAATCCGCGCAAAGTTTCTTCTTTGGTTCAGTTTGTGAGATAGGCATGCGCATGGGCTAGTTATATATGTTCATATTTAGATGGCACTTCGATCTACGACTACTACGGGAACTTTTCACAGTGAATTTATCAGACATGAATCAAAATGGTTTAGAATGGTGTAATACAACAGAATCTTTAACAAGCCAAAGTTCAAATATACATATATATCAAAATCAAATCGTTAGTTGCGTTACTACCTTAATTCTGTAGACCCGGGTCTGTAGAGTCACAATTGCACTGAATGAACAATTTAAACTAGTCATGCGCAATAAAAACGAACTAAAAAAAGCGAACTGCGCGGATCATCCTAATCAATTAGTGGATATGTCTAAATTACAAACTATCACAAATTATCTCTACCATACGGTTCATTCAGAATTAATATTTTACCTGAAGTAACAATTTTTGTATTTAAAAATAATTGTATCAAGTATAATTTATCCGGCAAAGTGGTCAAAATTACGAAATATCATATCAATTTTTAATGATTTCGTTGATGCTGTATTGCAGTTTTAGAGCCATCTTTAAAAGTTTAAAAACTAATGTCGTCCGAAACTCCTGTCAGTGTTAAAAACAGATTCTGCAAAGTTACAAGTCTTCTTCAGCTTATTAAACAGGACAGGCGTGTGGTGGACTAATGGTGAGTCATTTAAAAACTAATATGCGTTTACTACATTCGTAAAGATGCTTTTTAGACGCCTGAAGAAAATTTTCAGTTCATTTTGGTAAAAACTTGTGAAGTCTAGAACCTCAATATAGGCCCAGGAACATAGATGTGATAATCGGTTGTTAATTGGTTATGTGACAAAGCTTTCAACTGAACTGGTGAATTAAACTGTTGTACAATAAGATTTTTTCCACAGTCAGAGAGAATGTTTCTGGTTATCCCGTTCCCGGACTATAGTCCTGCACTGATCGCATTCATTTGCCTGTACGATTACAACTTGGGAGAATTATCTACGCCCCTTACACTTAAGATACCTACCTCAATGCATTATAGAACTCAAGATGTAACTTCTAATATATTGGAACCGCCGATTGTCTGGGTATATCGGCAGAACGGGAACATTTTCTCTTTTTCATTGAGAGAGATTCCATCACTTTTCAAAATGGCGGTTGGATTTAAAAGGAGAATCCCCCGTTTGGCTGTCCCGGATGTAGCCCGGAAGTACCAATATGGAGGAATTTGACGGTTGAAATAAGTTAAATGTTATACGCAAATATTGCGATCAAAAACGAAAATGTTTTCGTTCTGCCGATAAACCCAGACAATTGTGGATTCAACTACACGAAAAGAATGCTAAATTACCAAGGAATCTATTAAAGTAGGTATCTGAAGTGTGAGATCAGTAAAAAATTCTCCCATGTTGTAATCGCACAGGCAAAAGATTGAGATGTTCACAGGACCATAGTCCGGGAACGGGATAAGTTTCTGGCACAGTCAGAGAGAATGTTTCTGGCGAGAATTCTGGGATTTCAAACACTTTGAAGTTGGGGCTTACCTTTTTCAATTCCCGAATCTCACCGAATCTCTCCGAAATTAGCTCATCTTGGTGACTGTAAATTGCACAGCTGTATTCAATGGAGTCTTGTCATATTCGATCAGCCTCAATTTTAAAGTGTATATTTTATTTTCAACGTGATTTCATCGTTTTTTGTCGACTGGTAAGAAAACGCCGGGCAAATGGCAAGATGGATGACTTTTGACCTGACCTTGACCGATGGTGATCACGTCATCAATATTACCAAGATGGCGGTTTCAAAATTTTCTAAAATCGCTTCAAATAATATTATGTTAATTCCTAGCGAGTAAAGATATCTCTTAGTTTGCTATTTCACAATAAGATAACGAAATGTGTAAGGAATTCGTATTTATCAATTAAAACATCACATCGACATTTGGTATTCGTAATCTTGACGATGAAGATAACGACCTCGAAAAAAAAAAAAGAGCGAGTACGGGATTCGAACCCGGGCCTCCAGCGTGCTAAGTGAGGATTCTCCCACTAGACCACCGTTATATTACATATGTTGTTGGGAATTAAACGCTACTTATTTTGAATGCTATGATTCGGAAGTGACGTCACGTTCTTCACGTTTTGTTTGAGAGCGAGAACGAGACGTGCCAGAAGCCCGGCTTTTTTGTCAGTCGACCTGTTCAAAGTACATTTAGTAATAATTATCGCTTTTCAGAACAAATTAGGAAACAATATTTTCTATCTACGTCGATTAGCATCTAAGGTACGTAAATTTATATGAACAACTGAGTCAATAGGATAAATAGCCCAACGAGAGTCGGCGGTCTTGAAAAATACTTGGATCTGATGCCAGTCCTGTTATTGATATAGTTCCAGGGCAGTTCGAAGAACGTATTAGATGTCCGTGGTTTCTGGCGAAATTCTGGGATTTCAAATACTTGAAGTTGGGAAACCGGAAGGGCTTACCTTTTTTAATTCCCGAATCTCACTGAATCTCTCCGAAATTAGCTCATCTTGGTGACTGTAAATTGCACAGCTGTATTCAATGGAGTCTTGTCATATTCAATCATGCAGCCTCAATTTTAAAGTGTATATTTTATTTTCAACGTGATTTCATCGTTTTTTGTCGACTGGTAAGAATACGCTGGGCAAATGGCAAGATGGATGACTTTTGACCTGACCTACACCGATGGCGGTGACGTCATCAATTTTATCTATACAAATTCTATTTGGTCACGTGACCTTGTGCCAGAAGTCCGACTTTTTGGTCAGTCGACCTGTTCAAAGTACATTTAGTAATAATTATCGCTTTTCAGAACAATTTAGGAAACAATATTTTCTATCTACGTCGATTACAAAGCATCTAAGGTACGTAAATTTATATGAACAACTGAGTCAATAGGGATAAATAGCCCAACGAGAGTCGGCGGTCTTAAAAAATACTTGGATCTGGATGCCAGTCCTGGTATATAGATATAGTTCCAGGGCAGTTCGAAGAACGTATTAGATGTCCGTGATTTTTTCCCCGATTATAAGAGATAAAAGGCTTATTTCTCGAGTTTTTCACCAATAGATGTCACTATCAGGTGTTGATACAGGTTATCCTGTGTTACTCGAGTCTCTAGTCAATTCTTGGCAAAAGTAATTCTATTTGGAACACCGTGAACTATTGTAAAATTTCTAGCCGGGGTTCAATAAATTTATACCGTCATGTTTCTACAGTGCTGATATATAAAGAGTGCGTTTTCAAACTAAACAGAGTGCTCCTACCAAAATGAATTTGCCTACATACCCTTGAGACTCTTATCTGATAGAATCCACAAATAAAACAAAAGTTTTGCTATAATAGGTAAAAAGTTCTCTTGAAATTTCGAAGTGATTTTACCTGTTAATTCTGTCCATGACCCCCCATTTTTGCGGAAGTTTCACTGAAACGCAAACTCCATGAAACGAAACGAAATCACTAGAAAAAACATGGCCCACATTGCGCGCATGTGCAGCAAAGTTTAAACCAATTAGATTATTTGATTATTAACGTATACATAAAAATATTGGGTGAGACTTGAGATAATGTATGCGGCGCCAGTCAAAATTGAAACTTCTGATTGGGTTCGAAGCCGATCTCGAGATGCCCGGATATGTCCCAGCAAAAGCCGGAATTCACGTGATTTTTCACGAAGAAGGGGCGGAGTTTAAGCGAGATTCATCGAGACTTCTTCGTGTCAATCATGTCAATCCCTGCATTGCTTATTGTTAACTCCACCTTTTTGCCCATATATGGAGTTGGAGATGCCACTTGCGAGCGTGAACAGTTCAGTCTAGAAATAGAAATTATGTCTTTCTTCAATTTTTCTACACGATATCTCGATAAATAGTGGACATATTTGTACCATTCTTTCGTCAAAATGAGGGTATCGCTGGAATACATATTTCCAATCTGTTGGTCAATAGATTTATTCATTGATACTGGCAGGAATTAGATCGTAATAAACATGCTAAAATTGTAAAACTTGGAACGTTTGACAGTAATCTCCGAGTAATGTATGAATTGCATCGGGAGAAAGCAGGAGAAAAGATGGGACAGTCTGTTGTGTGGAGTTTGCAAAGCAATCCCGGATATAAATGACGTCATCTTCGCAGTTTACATGGTTTCGAAAGTGATATATTTTTGTGTCGTAGTGATGAGTTTGAATTATGTCGATTATTCGATTGTTATATATAAATAAACATCGATCTTCGGCGAAGATAAAGTAAGAACAACATATATATCCGAGAAACATGTTGGTAAGTACAGTATTTCATTTATAATGGCAGAAAATCAAATTGAATCGAAATCGAATTTTCAACTTTTTCAATTTTTTTTCGTTCGATTATTTTGATTTTCAATTTGATTTTTACATTCTATCTTCTTCGTCCTGCGGGACTATACTAGGCATAGGCTCGGAACATGTATAACATGAGTCAAATTCACTTAAATAGAACATGCTGTAAGCTTTATTTCTTTACATTTTTACGGGCCTATGCCTGGGCTATGCCTGGGCTATGGCCTATGACTCTAGGCCTAGACTACTAGATCTATAGGACTTAGACTAGCCTAAAGCTAGAGCCTTAGATCTAGCTCTTTCAGAGGCTGTGACTGATATGTTAGAACAGCCTTTAGAGCCCCCTATCAACCGCTTCAAAATTGTGTTAGTGTCCTCCTTGCGAAAATCGAAAAAAATTAAAAGGTGCTTCTGTGCCGAACAGCAAATTCTCATTATACATTGAGAAGCTATACTCTTTACCAAGAAACCAAAAATGGAAGTTTTGACGGAAAGACATGATGTACAAGTCAAAATCTCTTAATCTTGCTAGGTACATGACAGATAAAGAGAATTTAAATCCTGATCGACAAAAAAGCGGCTAATAACTTACATATTTTCTCAACAAAAAGCACTGATGTAGCTCACATTGGGAGATAGTAGTAAGCACTTGAAGTTGATTTCAGTAGATCAGTTACACCTCTGGGCTGTCATGATTTCAAGGAAAGACACAAAGTATCCGTCAAAAGAGAAAAGCTTACATAAATGCGAGCAAAATCTGCAGATTTATTATAGCTATTGACTTCTCGAATATGTTGAACGCACAACTCTAAACAATTGAAATTGAATAAAATTGACAAAATATGAGAAGACAGTCTAAAACCTAACTGAGAGAGCTGCCATTGTTTGCCCGGAAATCTTCAGAGATTTTGACTGGTACTTTGTGTCTTTCCATCAAAATTGCCATTTTGGTTTCTCGCTGGGTAATTCACAGATGAAGAGAAATCTTGATTGACAAAAATACAGCTGATAGCTAACAGCTTTTCTTAAACAGAAGATAAAGGAAGATATAAAGGAACCTGTTATGATTTTGAAGCGGGTGATATCCGATAGGGGGCCTGTTAAGGCTGTAAGTAGAGGGTGTAGCCGAATAAATCTAACCCAAATAGAGTTTAACACATCTCAGTATAGGCAAAATTAAAATTCATTAAAGTTTCATCACTTTAGCATGTGTACATTTGCTGGCCTTCTAATATTTTGCCAATAGATTTGTTAGGCTTGATTGCAAATGCTTATGAAATATAAGAGTGTATGGTTTCAATGTACTGTACTCCCGATATTTTTCGCGTGCAATTTAGTTT